TAAACTCTACCTAATAATTTTTCATTTCATAAAATTTTTAATAGTGGAAATCAACTATAAAATCTATCATAAATAATTTCTTGTAATTTTGGATTCTTTTCAAGAATGGCATCACTATCTAAAAAAAACTTTTAATTCAATCACCATATATATAAATCACAAGAACCTCAAGTACTTCATATTAGTACATATGTTGAATTATTGCCAAGTTCATTGAAGCAGGTCATTATTAAAATTTGAATTCAAGTTCACATATTAACTTGGAAAATAATAAGATTTTTTAGATGTTCTTATTTTATACTAAAAAAAAATTAATTAATTAATTAATAAAGAATGGTCATCTTAAAGTTCAATCAATTTCACCTTTGAGCCATAAAATCAACATTGACCATTGATTCAACCTTTGTCAAGCAAATTCAATCAAGTATGTTCTTTAATCTTCATGTTGATGATATTAAGAATACTTCCTTTAAGTCTTATGATATTTTTAAGTTCAAGTTCAAAAAAAACTTATTCTATTTCAAAGGTTGCTTATATATTTCAAAACAAGAATCACATTTATATATTCTTCAAGCTTGTCATGACTTTCTAGTAATAAAATATTTTGGATACAACAAGAATTTGGAGCTAATATCTAGAGATTTTTGGTGGCCACAAATATAAAAGGCTGTAAAAAACTTTGTACAGCTATGTAATGTTTGCTCAAGGTAAAAAATTCCTTGTCATTGACCTTATAAACTTCTTTAACCATTATCTATACTAAAACAACCATGGTCTTTTGTTTCTATAGATTTTATTATGAATCTTCTAAGTTCAAGTTTATATGATTCTATATTTGTAATTATAGTTCATTTCATAAAAATAGCATATTTTATATCATATATAAAATCTATTTTAGTTAAAAAAAATATATTTAAGCTTTTCTTTGATAACATCTATTATTATTATGGATTTCCAAAAGATATTATATCAAATAGAGGTATACAATTTGTATCAAGATTTTAAAGAATATTTTTTTAAATATTGAAGGTAGATATAAAACTATCTTTGGTTTTTCACATCAAACTGATAGACAAAAAAAATAAGTGAATCAAGTTTTGAAGCAATATTTGATATATATCATCAACTATTAACAAGATGATTGGACGATTCTTTGGCCAATGGTAAAATTACATACAATAATTTGATACATTCTTTTAATCAATAAATACCTTTCTTTATCAATTATAATTATCATCCATGATTTGATACTTTTGACTTTTTAAAAATTCATAATCCTGAGACAAAAGATTTGATAAATCATTTGTCATAGCTAAATGCATAATGAAGTTGTATTTAAAAGAAAATTAAGAACAACAAAAGATCAATGCAAATACCTATTGCAAAAAATGATTGCAATTTAATGTGAGTAACAAAGTATAATTACTTTGTTGCAATATCAAGACTATTTGTTCTTATGACAAGTTGGATTATTATAGGCTTGGACCTTTTCTTATTTGTAAATAAATCAAAGCAATTGCTTATTTATTATACCTATCAAAGTCAATAAAAATACATCTTATATTCCACATATCTCTTTTTAAACCATATAAGATAGTGAATATATTAAAAAAAAGAAAAATGCTACTTCTTCTTATAGAAGTAGACAATAATAAAGACCTTGAAATTAAAAAAGTCTTAGATTCAATAGGATGCCAAAATAGGTTAGAATATCTTATATATTAACATGGATATGATATTAATAAATGCATATGAGAGCAAACTAAGAATCTTATAAATATAGAATAAAAAATTAATGCTTTTATTAACAACATCTATCAAAATCAAAATAAAGAATAAGCAAATTTTTATTGTAAAAGAAATAATGGTTGATAAGGATTGCATTATATCTTCTATCATAGTCTTTGATTTTTGTGTATTCTTAATGTTGAAGATAAAAAATCAATGATCGGCAAATTTAATTCAAAAAATATTGTTCAGTGATTTTTTGAATGAGATATCACAATTGCTACAATTTTTTAAACTACATAATAAATACAAAGATTCTCAAAAATAATATATTCTTCCTTAAATAAATAGTGAGATACAACAAGTTTGATATCATGATCTTAGAAGAAATTCAAGATGTTTGGTGATATTATCAAAGATTGGAGCCACCCTTGATGGTGTTTCAAATGTTTTATTTGAAGAATGCTATGAAGGCATCGACAATGATCAAATATCAAGGTGGTCTTCCTACTATGGTATGGGACATTATTCATAGTTGAAAAGACTTATCAATTACCTTTAAAAGAAATAAAGATCAAAGTATGTGGCAAATATAATTTATCGCAGCTTGGATTTCTTTAATATGTGATTAATACTCTTCATGGAACTCGTCTTTAGAAGAAGGGGAGGGAGGAGAAAGAAGGGATGAATAATATAATGAACATAGATATTTACATAAATAAGAAATATTAGATATAAAATAAATGTAAATAGATTTGATAATATTTTCATCACTCAAGATTAAATATAAGATTCATAATAAAGAACTCCTTGCAATTGTATATCTTCTAAAGAATGGTGCCATTATTTTAAATGTGCTTCTAATCTAGAGGTTGTTTATACGGATCTCAAAAATCTCAAGTATTTTATGTTAGCACATGTTTTATATTGTCACCAAGGTTGTTTGAGCATGTCGTCAAAATCACTTCTAACTAAGAAAATAACAAGATTTATGAGACATTTGTTTAAAACATTCTTATCTTGCACTAAATTAAAATCATGTTTTACAAAAGTGGTTAATTATCAAGAATTTGAAGTCAATTAAGTCTTTAACTCAAGGCAATGCCAAAATATATTAAAATATCTTATACAATAGCATAGATATGATATTAGTGAATATACATAAGAACCATCTAAAAATCTTACAAATACTACAAAAAAAGTTGATACTTTTCATTGTCAACATCTATCAAAACAAAGACTACTAAATCAAGTAATTTTTTTGTTATAAAAGAAACAAGGTTTAGTTACAATTGCATTTTAACTTCTATCTTTTTTATAGTTTTTGTGTATTTGTGGCTCTAAAAAATTAAAGAATTAACAAATAATTTTAAGTATAATTTGTTGCATCTTTAACTTTTTCAATATATGATCATTGCTCCTTGTAGTACTCATTTTTAAAAGAAGGTATAATATCATAGACAAAAATAATATTTATAATTACTTACATAAAAAGAATTATATAGAAATAAGTAAAAATAAGTAAAGTTGATAATATCTTATGGAGAAGCTTTTTAGAAGCTTAATAGATGCGGATTTTGTCTTTATATATATTTTTAGATTAAAAATTTGGCCAACAAGCTAACTATATATTATTTATATTAACAACTTGTAATACAAATTGGCCATGTCGTGTACATATAGGAAACTTGCCTTGCAAGTTAGATATATGTCTCGGAAGTTGGATATGTATTAAAGGTCATATAGAATGTTATCATATAGCTCTTAGTTAAGTAATATATATAAAAGAAAGAGTGAGGTCTTCTTCATTCTTATCAAAGCCTTTCTTGTTCTTAGTCTTGATTCAAGAGTCTTTAATCTTCTTGTTTTTAGCAATAGTCATTCTAATTTTAACGATATGCTATCTTTGAGCAAATATCTATTCTTTTTTAATAATACAAGACTAAATTGATTTTCTAATTGCTTGTGATTTATGACGTGAATACTATCTTCATCAAACTAATAATTCAAAAAGACTAAACACAAAGTAGAATATGCACAATTAATTCATATTTACAAAAAATTAATATATGTATTTGTTCCAAACCTATTACTTACCATTTTTGCAGCATATATTATATTTTTTATTATTTAAATATAATTTCTTTAAATATTCTATATACTTTATTAATTAAATTAATATTAGTAATCACAAATTAAATCCTTAACTTTCTATGTTCATTTTCTTTAAATCACTTATTTGATTAAAATGATTTATCTATATCAAAATCTAATTACTTCTATTTGTAATAATCTACATAAAATAGAACATTAACTTGTGTTAAGTTATATATAATTTATTAATGATACATTGATTATAGCTTACTTTGTTTCTTACATTCCTATTCAATCTACCTAGCCACCATAATGACATAATAACCAATATTTTGATACAAATAATACATAAATTATCCATATCTTTAAAAAAAAAAAAAAAAAAAAAAAAAAAAAAAAATGATTTAAATTATGTGCAAGACTATGAATAACATGGAAGATATTTATATTTAGGATCTAAAAATCATATAGTTATAAATATCTCTCTCTCTATTTATTTATTTATTTATTATTTTTAATGAGACTAACAGTCTTATATGCCACATCCTATTCATTGCGACCAACATCTTTGTTAGGTTTCTAACAAGGGTTCTATTTATATGACATCTCAGCTTTCTCTTTCAAAATGATGATTCCTTGTCAAAGATGTGGCACCTTATACTTAATAATGATATGAGTAATCTATTTATTATTATTATTATTATTATTGACAGTGTTAAAGCCATAAGAAGTTGAAATTAAACATCAATAAAAAATAGGCACAAAATATTAAAAATTACCAAAAAGAAAAATAGAGATTTAGGTTTACAAATTTTAATTTTAAAATTCAACATTAGAGAAAAAAATTAAAGAAAAATGTGGTGCATAGAAAACATCAAAAGTGATGTTAAGAAAAAGAATTATGAACCTCAATCAACAATTGAAGTTTAAGACTTGTCGTTTTTAATATAAAAGTTGTTGCACAAAGATCAATCTATTAGTTTTGATTGTTATAAAGCTTATGAAATTATGAGCAAAACAAAAAGAAAAAGGCAGGTTGAACTGGTTGTCTCCCTTGTTGCCCAATGCATTGTGGGCCAGCCTGACGCTATGGCCAGCAAAGCAAATGTGACCCAGTTAGCAAGGAAAGCGTGGATGCGCGCGTGTCATTCCCTCGACAGGATCCGTGGCCACCGCCTCGTTGGAATTGCAGCGATGTGACCTTCCGTCCACAATGAGATCAATTGGAATTTCTAGCTCGGTGGATTGCTTACCTGACGACATTTTAGCGGGTATTCCTCATCCTCCTGCACATTTTCAAGTGGGCCCCACTTCATACAATCTGTGCACGCCGATGGTTTGCGAGGATCTGGTGTGATACTTGCCACCGACTTGTTTCTGGACGCATTTGTCTATCAAGTTTTGGAGGATCGATTGTGATACATTTGAGGGTTTGTTGGTAGCCATTGTATGGTTTTGCACATAATCTCCTTGTCGAGTTGATCAGAGTTCATTACATTGTTTGGGATTTCTAAACCAAGCTCTGAATTCAGAGCTTATGTAGCCCAAACGAGGGAGAACCATTATCTAGCGGGCTTGTTGCTGAATTAATTTCCTTTTGCGAAAGCCGGCTTTGGATTTAGCTTCTGGACTCGGAAGCTGCTGCACTGTAATGATCTGAAGTCAATTGCAGATGATAACCTTGCTTGGAAGCTTTTGATATCTGAGGCATAACCATGGTGCTGTTTCTAAACCCGCAGCAATTCCTCAGCCGCACCGCAATTTGTTCTGACCTTCAGCGGCGGTGGGCGCGAATTAATACTGCGAAGAAACAACCGCTTACTGGGGTCGGAGCACGTCGAACCCAGCTGAGGCCGTCTCAAGGAATCGGAGGTCTCCAAATTCGCTCCCTCAACACATTTCTGCCCTACCCTGAATTCGATCGTACTGTGGAATGTCTGGACAATCGGCGGCTTGGGAAACAGAGGGTAGAGGCGATGCAAATTCTGCGCATCGTCCAGGCGAGCCCTGTTCCGATTCGTGGGATGGCGTGGGCGAATGCGCCCGTGGTGAGAATGTGGCGTGGCTTTCCCGGCGCGCTGGCAGTCTATTATAACGCTTGCTTAGAGGAGTGGGGAAGGCGAGGTTTTAAGAATATCGTGCTTCAGCCTGCCGACGTTGAATTGCCTGTTGTCATGCCCCCATGGCTAGGTCAGTGTTTTGCTCCTCACACCTGGTGTTTGTCAGATTAGAAAGGAATCCTAGGTCCTTACTGTCACAGATTAGCTTTCGTTGGTTTGACAGCTCTCGAGGTTTGGGGTTTAGGATTTGCTAATTCAGCCGTGAGATGTTTTTAGGAATTAGAGATTCTGAGACTCTGGGGAACATCCCCAGGATTGCCGCTTCTGTATCATTTTTTAAAAATTTTGACGTAGCGAGTTCATCCCCTCAACTCAGTTTCTCTATTTTGGCTTGCAGGAGATGAACTAGTGCACGCATCACACCGTTCCAATCTGTTGCGGAAGGAACCTGAGCATTACCTGCAGTTTGGATGGACGGAGTCTCCGGATTTACCTTACGTGTGGCCGGTACCTCTCGTCCGGGTTGAAGTTACGAAGGTCGAGATTAGCGATAGTAAATAGCTCCACGAAGGTGTGGAGCGATTGTTGTTTGCTACCTTCTCAAAAGCTTCCGAGTACTTGCTTCAACATCTCCTCAACAGATGTGCCTCGCATGACGTAACCCCTGCAGCTATCACTATCTTTATCCTCATTCCTCTTGCCGTTGATGTTACTATGCAACTGATTCCTTCTCCATTTCATATCATCTGGAGCAACTTTCGGAGGTTGGTGTGCGTTTTGCCGTAAAATTCCCAGTCTTCAACAATTAGTTCATACAGTTGCAAAATCTACCAGCAGAGTTTCAGCATGAAGCCATTCGATGCACATCCTGCACGGCGGAGCATACACGGAAATGGTAGAACACCCACTTGGACAAATGGGTACCTTAATAATCTACCCCTAAGCAAATGACTGACTTGCAGGCGATTTCTAGCTTCTTGAGTATGAGAAGTTACTTATCGATCTTAATATATCTTCAGATGACTGGGTAGTAGCTTTCATTCTCGCTGTCAATTGTGGCAGGCTGCTGTGTGTTGATCTAATGTGTCACTATTGTTTTGACCTATTGAGGCTGCATTGGACTACATCTATGAAGCTCCTCTTCCTTAGTATGAGGATTGAAAGGAGTTCGATTTGGTTACTGCTAGTCCTGTGTGCATCTTCGATTACGACTCCCAATTGTCTTCGTGAAGCTGGTTACGACGCGTCGATCATATTCTTTGTGTGAGCTTCACACGTTGTGTAGTGTACATTCTAAGTGGAGGACCAAGGAGTTTGGTCTGAAAAATAGTCCATCATCATCATTTCTTCTTTGTGGCGTGTTTCGTCAGTGAAATAAGTATTTCCAAAAGTGTAGTTCCGGAGGTCCAGAAACCTTGTTAGATTCATGGTTTTCCTGAACTATTGTAAATTAATTATAACTATTACTTCAAACATGATTATGAAAACACTCGGTTGTGGCAATAATCATGAAGTCATGACATTGGCTTCGTGAAAGTAAAACATCTAGTCCACACAACCAGAAACATGGTGCCGAGGACGATGAAAACCTCCGGCTGTATTAAGAAATTCTAAAAGCTTTCTCTAATGGTCCGATGCGTGCATTCTTAGTATTCTTTGTGTAAGATTGTAATTCAATCCAGCTATTAATGATGTCTCCCTCACCACAACAAGAATTCGGGAGTTATCTGGAATCAGATATCTCGACTTCCGATGATGCTTATGATAACGATAATACATCTATCTGCTACACGTTACCAAGCTACTTCACTGCGAGAACCAAGTTGCATTATGTCGTTCCAGCCGCGACAGGAGAGGAAAATGCCAGAGAACATACAAATTAGTGAGATAAAAAGAGAGCGGAATGGGACGATACGGCTAACCGTACTTTGAAACCCATTGACTTCATATCCATTCTCTTGACGAGTGATACTTTGAACACCACAAAGTAATATCTGATGACAAGCAAAGTATTATATAATTAATATGCATGGCATTATGGATATGACAGTTTCTTTTCTAAAAGTAGAATCAAATTAGTGAGTGCACTGCAGTGCACACGATGCTCTGCTTGTTCTCTAGTGAATCAGTTTGCTTCATATCAAACTTGTCTGCTGCCTTCGTCCCTTGTTGACCGTGGGCTTTGAAAGACCTCGGAGCCGTGCTTGGAGTCAATGCTAGACGCACTTTGTCATGTTCTTGCCGCTCAACGAGAAGAACGATACCATGTATTTTCACTTTGAGGAGACAATTATTTGTTTGGCTATACTTCTTTTTAGGCTATATTCCTTTTATATAACTTGGAAACAAAGAGTATCAGTCCAACTCCCGTAAGATTCTGTAGGCCAGTAGTCTCCAAAACCTTTTTCCAATGAAACGTAAAATCAGTCAAAGTGGTAACGTACGCAAGATTGGAGACATGACATAATCGTTTTACTGAGAACCCCACAATGCAGAAAACATGGTTTTTTCTAAACATACAAACACACACACACGATATTATTACTTGGCTAACAGGAAGCAGGAGAAGCATGGCCCCTGGCTGCAGCCTCTTTTGGTCCTCCCACCTAACTTTCTCGCATCGCTGCGCTGGTGTTTGCCAGAGAAATTGCTCAACTTCAGCGTAGCTGCAACTGTGAAATATTACATGAAATGAGTTGGTAGAGCTAGTTAGAGTTTGACGAACGTACTCAAGAATCGAAGTATCTGCATTACTAAGCTTAAAGGCTAGATCACCTGTCGATAAATAAACAGCTTGAAACATTACGATGCTTTCAATAGGATAATTACAACGGCGATGTAATCAAGTGGAGTCTTAACAGAGCTGGAGCTCAGGCCCACGGTTGAGTTGCATTGTTTCTCAGACCCTAGCCATATCGACCATTTTGCCGCAGCTGTTGATGATGACTGTAGAACTTGCTGGTTGACTAAGAGATATTCAGAGTTAAAGCTAGTTGAGGACCGCAGTTGTAGAGCTGCGATAAGCACGGCACAACTTAGAATCATTTCGAAGCTAGGGATTTCTTCCAAACCTGTATGGTCTTGAATCTGAAAAGTGTGTCAAAGCCTGACCTCGACAACAGAATGTTGAAAACGTGCAGGCCGTGGTAACTGTTGCAAGAAGAATCGGAGCGAAAGGCTTCACGCGAGGGGTTCCCGAACCGAGAAATGGCGCCCTTACCGATTGTTGGCCTCATTGTGGCAGCCGGGTTGGCATGGTTCCTAGGAACCGATCCATTGGAGGTCTCAATGGGACGAGGCATTGTAGAGTTCGACCCCCAACACGTCCCTCCCCCTCCTATGCATCAGTTCAAGAATTTTCCTCGGGACACTCAGAATAAGCTACAAAAAGGGGAGGTGAAATGGCAAGGCCAATTTCTGGGACCCGAGAGCCTGACATTCGACTCACAAGGCAGGGGACCGTATACTGGTGTCAGCGATGGCCGAATCGTTCGATACAACGGTCCTCAGGCGGGTTGGAGCACTTTTGCATATACATCTAGAAACTGGTCAGAAGCATGCACACCACTAAGTCTAACCACGCCCAATCACGCCCTTGAGCATGTTTGTGGACGTCCTCTGGGGCTGAGGTTCCACAAAGGGACAGGCGAGCTCTGGATTGCAGATGCGTACCTGGGTATTATGAAAGTTGGGGCACAAGGTGGCCAAGCGGAGGTTGTGCTGAGCGAGATCGACGGCGTGCCGATGAAATTTGTGAACGACCTAGATTTCGACAACGATGGGAATTTGTATTTCACTGACAGCAGCACACATTGGCAGCGCCGGCAATTTCTCCTCTGCCTCATGGAAGCTGACGACACAGGCCGGTTCATCAAATACAATCCAACTACTAAAGAAACGGAGATTCTCATCGACAAGCTGCGATTCTCGAATGGCGTGGCAGTTAGCAAGGATGGCATGTTCGTGCTTGTTGCCGAGGGCCGACTGGGCAGGTCTGTCACTCCTAATCACTCAATTTTCTCAGCTTTAAACTTCCATGGAAGATGCAGGATGACAGAAGCAACAGTTTCAGTTCCGAGAGAGTGAACACAGGGTTGTTTTCAGGTTATTGCGATATTGGGTGAAGGGAGGCAAAGCAGGCACATATGAGGTGTTCGCCGATTTGCCAGGATGGCCGGACAATGTTCGGCGCAACGAAGCGGGGGATTTTTGGATAGCTTTTCATTGCCCTCGAAGGAAGTTGGAGATGATCCTGAGCAGATACCCTTTACTTCGAACTCTGATCATCCGACTGCCCATCTCTTCGAAAAATGTATACTGGATGCTGGCAGGTAAGCCTCACGGCATGCTCATGCGATATGGTCCAGACGGCGACTTCAAGGAAATCTTGGAAGATCAAGAGGGCAAGGTCGCCAAAATGTTGAGCGAGGCTGAAGAACACGATGGGAAACTGTATCTTGGTTCTGTGCTCTTGCCACAGATTGTTGTCTACACACTGGAAAACAAATCGTAAATGCTGGAGGCATGTAGTACCCAAAGCTGCACACTCACCAAAACGCTTATTGAGAATGGTGCATCTACAGCATGAAAAGACAGGTTGGACTCGCAGGGCGACTACACACAGTGAAATATCTTTTTCAATTGCAGATATGAGACTGGTTACTGGAAAAAGTTTGGGTACATCAAAACGGTGTAGTTAATATAAAAGTTACACATTGCGTAGTTGTGCAACACAATGGTCAGTGAATACTGCATCGTCAAGCACATCAGCACTACAAGGTTAGAGGTGACCAACGGTGTATAAACAAATGAAATTTGTACACTCGGTCAAATAAGAAGTCGCACTTCAATGACGGATGGCATTCTAGGCGACACCTCGATCTAGAAGTAGACTGCAGGTGTTGTTCATACGTGTGAAAAAAAGGGTTTGATTATTCGCAATGCGTGCGACTGGAGTATGCCGAGCAAAAAGCGAGGACGACGAAAATACGTGCAACCCCCACTTCCAAGCCTCAGATCACATGATGAAATCTCACGCGTTAGGCTTGGGACTTGAAGATGGATTTAACGCTCCCTTGAAAACATCATCCAAAGCCTGGACAAACACAAATGACAGATGAATAAGTTAATACGAGTTGCGAAATATACGACGAGTGTTGAGATGTATTCACTTTGAATATTAGTTGTGTAGGGAGCTGAAATGAATCAAAGAATTCAAACTGTGCCTCAATGATGCACTGTCAATTATATTAGAGTGTTTCACAGAATTGACAACTGACCTTCGGTGGGCCCCAAGGATTCAGCAATCGCATGCGCTTGTGACTCCGAGCTAGAACGCCTCTCGTGATGGGGGACACCAGGGAGTCGGTTGGGCTCATACAGCTGCAAGAACAAACAACTTTTCGGGTTATAACTTAATGAAAAACATGATTAGTCGCTAATTCCCCGGGAGTGGTGCAAAAATCAAAATCTGAGACTGCTGCACGTGCATATCAGCATGAACTATACCGGCACAAGTATGGATATAAGATTGTTTTCATGTATGGCATGATTCTAATACTTCAGCACAACTGGACAATGATACTCTCTCCAGCAACCTGGCTCTGGTAGAGACATATGTTGCAAATCCCCACGGCTAATACTGTCAAAGAGGTTAGTGTCAAAACCAAGAGCTCTACAAGTTGCGCTTGCACATTGCTAATTGAAGGGCATGAGATCAAAAGTGAGACAATTCATGAGATCAGGACAATATCAAAGTTTTCAGTGTGAAGGTTTCCCGGATGCCTCATTCAACTAGACAACGACTGTGTCTTGATAATAGAAAGAAGCAAGTCCAACAGGCGGCAGATGTACACCGTTCGGGATAGACCACAGAACTCCTGGTAGAAACCTGGCCCGAATTGGCACCATTTACGCGATTCACATCCCCTTTATTCTTGGGACGCTCCCTTAAAGGAACAGGCGCAGACATCTTGAATAACTTTGCCTCCATCCGCTGTCGCTCCTTGGGACTGAAAGCGGACAAAGCGGTACTGCGCTTTAGATTCCCGAGCAATGGCGTGTTATCGAGATCGACGCAATTCTCCATTGGAGCCTGGTTCTCCATGTCTCCCTAACAAACTTTAACGCTCACAACTCCACAGAGTGGCACGGAACTCAGCACACGACTGTCTACAATTAAACACCGCCTCAATGTCAAATAAGATCACCACTCAACGGGGCACGAGATCCTGGTATGTTATGACAATAAGCTCCAAAGATCAAACCAACCACTCCACAGGGACAACCAAACGAAACAGAAAGAAGGCGAGGAAAACAGGGCGTCAATGAAGCTATCAAATAATCTTGAATGATAGCAAAGGCGTAATCAGCAAGATAAAAGTCAATAAGCAGAATGCGATTCTGAGAGAGCAGCAGAAGTGATGATTGCGGGAACAGAGAGGACTGTGCAAATCGCCGGAGGAGGAGTAAGAAATTTAGAGCAGGAAGCCATAGCCGCAAATGAAGGTTAAGACAAGTAGCTCGGGAGTGAACGTTCAACGGAAAAGGGGAACGACCCAAGGAGAAGGGTTGTGTCTTGTCCACTTCGCCACGTGAGCCCGCGCGGTTAACGGCCATGGGTCCTCATGGGTACACGTGGACTGTGGATTAAGGCACAAGTCGCCCAGTTCCGGGTATATGCAATGGACGCCTGTGTCCGTTGGAAGAACATTGTGTTAGGTTTTCATTAATTTTGCTCATCCTTTTTGCTTATCCTTAGTGTGTGCCCATTTGTTGTTCAATCTTGATTTAAACTTGGTCATTGTTGATGCTGTTTATTTTTTATTTTTTATTTTTTAAATTCGTTTATTTTATGTATACCAAAAGATTAATTAATTATGAAATAAATAAAAAAAATTCAATTTTGTAACTAATATTAAATATAAGTGATTTTTTTATAATTATTTCTAAATTTTGAATAAATTTATACACACACACATGTATATATATATATATATATATATCAGTTTAAAGCTTGAAAGCAAAACTTTATATATATATATATATATATTTAAATACATCTCATGTTATTGTGCATTTTTTCTTAAAGAGTACCTATGACAATGCTTATAACAGACAATGCTTATAAAAAGGCAAGTTGAACATTGAAGTTACAGTATGAAATTGCAGCACTAAACTAAAAGTAAGATAAAATAAAATATAGATTGTGACTTTATGGGTTAAAATACAAATAATAACATAATAATTAAATTTATTTATAAGAAGTTAAAGTTGTAACCTAAAATAACTAGGTAGCCTATCCTCCTAAGAGTGTAAAAAATTTAGAAAAGAATATATGGTCCACATTCACCTTGAACTACTTAAGGATGGCAGGTTGGTATTAATAGGTCGGCAATTCAAATCCTAGCTATTAACATTTAACTTAGAAGAGAGTGAGTTCTTTATTGTTTTCTAAATAAAATAAGTAAAAATTCTACTAGCACATTGCAAATAAACATTTATTTGGAATAAATAGACAATTCTTATTATTTGTTTTATAGTATAATTCATTAATACATATTTAGATTAAACAACAAAATCAACTCATGAACTTTTGAACATAATGCATGAAAAATCTATAATACATCCACTAATGCTTATAAGTACATGCACGATATACAATAATTATTTTTATATTTTTTGAAAAATAAAAAACTGGGCATCTAGATCAATCATAGGACATTGTATCTTTCGTTAAATACAATGTTATAATAAGATAATTTTGTATTTCTCTACCTTGAAGCTACTATTGATGGAAATTACTTATTTGCAATATTATGTTTGAGCGCTTTGATAGTATCTGCATAATTAAACTCATACATGTTACTTGTTGTGATCTGAAAAATTTAGTCAATTTTATAAATGAATTAAAAAAAATTAGCAATCACTCTCAAAAGAATCAATACAAGGCAAGAAAATTAAAAATACTAGTTTCTCTCTTACGAATAACATCAAATATACGTTCATATTTATTGACTTACAAATTGTCACGGCCTTTTTGACAATACAATTACATTAATAGCTATGCGAGACAGACACGTGGATATATGACAGGTGGCATCGGGAAGCTTCGTAGTTAGTCCGTGACATAGCGAAGGCCCGCGACGCAAACCTCTCTTCACATCGTCCGGATCTCCCATCAGTGCGTTGCCGATGAAGGCACAAGCTCCGTACGACGCACGCTTTGTCGACCACCATGCTCGCGATCAATCCTTACTTGTGGGTTTGTCTGCGTGGGTCTGGGTCTTCCTTTCCCATTTGTCTTGGATGCTGCAGTCATTTGGTAACGAAAAACAGCGAAGAGCTTGACGTCTCGAGCTGAAAACGATGGCACATTGAGCGAAAAAGCTCAAGTTGATGAACGTTCGATGATCGTAATCAACTGTCTAGGTTGCGGTCTATCCAGCAATCCTGTCGGTTCGTTTCCTTGGAAGACCAAAGGATATGGGGGTACGACAGATCGTATGCCAAGATCGTCAGCCAGTTTCTCTTCATATGCTTCGTTTACATTAGTGGCAAATAATTGTGCAAGGAATAAATGGCCGAGTAACTCCGAGTCGTGCATCGAAACATTCAGAGAGGGTTTATTCTTCGTTGTTTCAATGCAGTGTAAGGTTTTTCGTACTTTTTGATTGACAGTTGGGAACGCTGTATGGGTGTGGCAGCAGCACTAAGAGCTGAGTCCGGAGCTCAGAGAACCCGGTGAAGAATCGCTTGAAGGACATGTTTGTCCAGCAAATATGTGTGACGTCCCAAGGACCCACGGTAGCAAGCACAATGTCAGAAAAGCTGCCCCGCCAAATACCTTCCCTTCCTGCATGGCGCTCTTGAATGTGGACCACGACATCTCCTTGGCCCAGCCCCTGGCGGACTCGATCAGTCTCTTTTGACCTCGCCTACCGACCCGAAAGCCAAACAAATACTCCATCACAAGAGCTGTGATCCATGTCATCACTAAAGTAGGGATCGTGAACGCGAAGAGCGTGACGGTGACAAATAAACTGAGCTGAGCCACGAGGAAGAGGTAGGATTTCACAACAGGCCAACAGAATGGGTCCACATCCTTCCCCAGAGGAGGTTGCCACTGCTGAATGGAGCGCACTGTATGCATGATGCACCAAAGCAAGCTTCCCAGGATGATCCCTAAGCACCCCAACACGCTTGTCTTCCGAATCACCGTCGTGAAGGGTGGCGACCTAGTAGGCTCCACTGCTCCCTCCCGCTGCTTGATTCCCAATTCCGCAGGAAATCCAGACCACGTCCCATGAGACCCTGGCGAAGGTGTCTGCTCCGCCTCAACCTCCCTACATCCGCTATGTCTCCATCAAACTTGGTCCGAAACAAAATTGGCAGCATTAATGAAGGATCAACTATCCTGCGGAAGACAGGGTGCCGAGTCCACAATCCAAATTGAAGTTTGAAAATGTAACGATCAAGGGTGCACTGACAAGAGAACAGCGCAGGTAACTCACAATGGAGAGGCAGTCTCGCCGCAGATTGGTTGGCTTTCCTCTATCATAGTGCGCGCCTCCAACCCCACGCCACTCCAGCAACAACAATCGCTTACAAGCTTCCAATCCGCTCCCACAGAAGACTTCCTTCCCTCTCAATCACGTTTCGCTCACCAGACGCACATTCGCGGAGACTGTGCCCGAGACAAGGCTCCCTCTGGTATCACCTCAGCCATGCTCTATTCCAACGTCATAATTGCGCAAATTACAACTATCGACCGTGGCTCTCTCCACTACCGAGAGGGATCAAACTGCGCACCACACAAGACAGTCAGACTTGAGGGCATTGAACAAAGAGGAAGCTGCAGTGAGAGTTGCCGCGAGCTCTGTCAGCGGCATGTGTCCGTCTATTGCGAGAGCCTAGTTTCTGGACCACGACGAAGCACTACTGTCACACGCACAGAAAACAATCTCTGCCCGTAAAACCCTAGAATTCCCATGTGGGTCCAACTTCTGGTCAACTTTCCCATAAGTCTTGAAACTTTCCATTTAACACTCTGGTAACGTCAATGCCATCACCAGAACGAAAAAATCCCATGGGATGCCAAAACCATGACTTTCAATATAAAACGATCATGACTCTCTCGAAATACAATCGTTACTTTCTACCACTTCGGAATGCTCAAGATATAAGTTTTACAACACAAAAACAAACACAGCATCCAATACTCCGACGTGGTGTGTGAATTCATTCATACTCCTTGTTTCTGATTCTCAACGACCCAGTGTCCCGAAGTGACTGTGCAACGCCAGGTCGATCCATAGTAACACAACACCTGCACATAGCGCAGCCCAACAAGGTGGGCACGACGGAGTCAAACGTGGGGAGCGAGCTAGGCCAGATACCGAGAATGGTGTAAAATTGTGGGTTTTGGGAGGAAAATTGATCCAGTGTGAGTATCACGAGTGGCGTTGCCACATTCTTCTGCTGCATTGTTGCTGTCACTCACTCAGTGGAGATGCACTTTTCCCATCCACCGAACACTTGAGTCTCTTGCTGCTTTAGCATCCTCCTCCGTGGGCTATTTCTTTTTTATTGCTTATTTTTCGTAATTTGTTTGTGAAGTTGGGGTCCTTCACCTTTAAATTGCATTGCTGAGTGATATCTATGAGTGCTTTCGAGCCGGTGTTTGCAGACCAGGTACCCAGCTCGCACTCTAATTCATGTTGTGTTTACAAACATAGATGTTGGGTTCATTCATTTATCATCCATATGTGTTTCCAAACATGTCTGTTGGGTGTATTTTAATTAATTTTATTTTTTTGTATTGACAATAGGGCTGAATTTGTTTCTTTGTGCCAATAATCTTGACAACTTTACGATTTAGTAGTTGTACATATTAAAACCTATATTGATGTATTGTATTATATTACTGGCAATGATGATTTTTTATTTTTTGAATTACACAAAATAGATTGTATAAACAATGATTTTGATTATGCTCTTTGAATTTATTTGCATAATCAATTTAAAGAATCTGTGAAACATAATCTTGCTCTTTTGGTATTTTACTTTATATTATGTAACAGTTTTAAGACATACTTTTATCAATTTTTAATAAACAATTCATTAAATAAAATTTTATTAAAAGTTTGAATTATATTTTTACGGCACTATTGAAAATATTCTTTGAATATTTTTGGTAAAGAATAACAGCATAATTCAATTAAAATTTATATATTTGATAAAATACAATATAATAAAATCTATGTAGAAAAAATTACTGAACCACTAAGAAGATGCCATCTCTTTTATGGCATGGATATCTCTTTCATTTAGACTAAAATTCTTTTTAAATAAAAGACTTTTTTAAAAAAATTAATAAGATTTTTAAAGTAAATGAAAGAATTATATGAAATGTATTATGAAGATTTGTTAAATTTAGTTAAGAAAATGGAAAAAAAAAAAAATCAATGAAAGTATGACTAGCTATTGTATACAATTTTTTTTTTTTTTTTTTTTTTTTTTTTTTTTATTATAAACTTATTTTATAACTTTTTAGCATAAATAAGAGTTTTGCTATATATATGCAAAGGTGCATAGTATGGAGAAGTACCTGCAAAATAAAGCAAAGGTGTCCATCTAGTGGTCTACAAAATAATTTGCTAAGTTTTTTACATATGTAAATTTCTATAATCATTTTAAAAGTCTATCTTATTGAATGCTTTCTTTGTCAACTACTACTTCAACATGACTCACTCATTTGAACATAAAATAAAAACTAAAGATATAATTGCAGTTATATTTGAATACATACATATAATAATTAATCCTACTTTTTAATAGATATGGGGGAAGGAATTTATATGAATTTTAATACCTATACAAAAATATAGCATTAGATCCAAAAGTAGAAACTTAAAAAAGGATTTTGGCCCCCTTGAACATATTTGTACACCTAAATTTCCTTAATTTCTTCTATGAAGCTTATAATCTTTTTTTTTGGTAGAATTTGTATGAGAGGTTTTTTTTTTTTTTTTTTTTTTTTTTTTTTTTTTTAAATTTAAATATTATAAATAAATAAATATATTTAATTATAACATCAAAATTAAAAATTAAAGATCAATTGAATAAATTTTTAGACTAATTTAAAATTATTATTAACATAAAAATATCAAAAAAGCTTATAAACTCACATAACAAAATGAGACTTTTTGTAATCATTCTACTTCATCATTACTTGGTTTTTTGTATATAATATATAAGAAAATTAAATCCTAATTTCTAAAGATTAAGATTGAATAAATTTATATAAATTAAAAATTAATTATTCTTTGATTATAAAATTATAATTTCTTCTTGAAGATATTAAAATTAATAAAAACATGTGATTTTTTTGCCAAAAAAATCAAATTAATATATTTTGATAAGCAATAATGGATGTTATATTATGATATTTATCTATGCAGAAATTAAAAGTTTAATATGTTGATGAATTCAAGTAGTAATTACAATCAAGTAAAATGATTTGTTAAAATAGGTTAAATAGCTCAAAAAAAAACTAATTAAAATTGAGAAGAATATATCAAATTATTAAATGGATTAATAAAAGGTTTAAATTTTGATAATAGAGTGTGTAATTGATTCTTTACAATAAATTTGATAGTTTGTAAAAAAAGTTAAGATATATAATTAATTATTAGAAACAAATAATTTTATAATTTTAAAGCTTTTAAATAGAATATAATCCTTTATCTTAAAATTTTTTTAATTAAAGAAGTATGAAGTTTTCACTAAGAGTCTATAAACAAATAATGCTTATATTGCTTGTTTGGCATTGATAAGAAGCAATATACATGTAATAAATTCAAATTGATTTTAATATAGTGTCATAGATATATATATATATATATATATATATATATATATATATATATATATATATATATTAATAAATTTCTATATAATTAAGTAGAAGTAGGTAAAAATAAATAAAAGTAGATTAATTTCATAATACCTTCTAGAGAAGCTTTCTAGAAGCTTCATAGATACTACTTTGACTTTACATGTGTTTGTGGTTGATTAATAAGTTAGAAACTTAGTCAAAAAGTTAACCACGTGTTAGTAGCTTGTGGAACAAGTTAACTATGTGGCATACATATAGAAAACTTGCGTTATAAGTTAAGATATGTATCTTGCAAAGTCAACACATTTTGGAGGTCTTGTAGGATATCCCCACGTAACTCGTAGTTAAGAGTATATATATAGAAAAAAGAATAAAGCCTTTTTCACTCTTATCAATGCCTTTCTAGTTCTTATTCTTGTTTCAAGACTTTCTAATCTTCTTATTTTTGACAATAGCCATTTTAGTTCAATATTATATTATTTTAAAGTGAATTTTAATACTTTTTATCAAGGCAAGAGTGTATTGAGGATTTCTTTCTTTAAGATTCATATCCTTAATAATTTGACAAGAGTGAAAACTTACTATTTTTATCTTGTTTTAGATATTAGTGAATTATCTCACTTTTATTATTGAGTTTTGAAGGTTGTGGATTATCCACCTTTAAACAAATAATGTTATTTTTAATACTAATTTTTTTTTAAAGAGAGTAGATTATCCCTCTTTATGGAAATTTTTATTTGATATTAGAGGTTGTGGATTATCTCATTCTTATTTAATTTTTAATTTTTTTTTGAATTATCTGTAGAAGGAAGAAAAAATTATTGATGCTACTCTCAACAGAAGTAAGAATAGATTTGCAACTATTGTAGATCTTCATGAGCTTGTTAGTACTCTAAGAGTAGAAATCTCACATATTTTTAATTTGAATCATGGAAGTACTATTCTTATGTCTATGGAAGAAGTTCAAAGTCTGCAGCAAGAAGTTGTGCAATAGAAGGAATTAAGTAGATTGACCTCACAACTAAATCTTGAGAGTTTTGTTTCTATAAGTATGATAGAAAGAAAAATTAATATGCATGAGAAGTTTGATGGAACAAGATCAAAATTTTAATGATTTTTGTAATAAGTCAAGGTCTATATAAGATTGCATCCCTTCCAATACTTTGATGGATTTATTCAAGTTGGATTTGTAGGCACACTTCTATAAAGAAGAGGTTTTTTTTTTAATTTTCATCTTTAATAGAAAAGGATTCATGTTTTTTTATGATTTGAATTCACTCTTAGAAGTGTTTACAACTACATTTGGAAAAAGTGATCGAAAAAGACTAGTGGAGACTAAGCTCTTATCTTTATAACAAGGAATAATCACAATTCAACATGGGTGACAAGGTATGGTTACTTTGTCACAATATCTAGACTACTTGTCCATGTGATAAGTTAGACTATCATAGGCTTGGAATTTTTTCTATTAGTAAATAAGTCAATCCTATTGTTTATCAAATATATCTATTAGAGTTTATGAAGATCTACTCCATATTTCACGTGTCTCTTCTTAAATCATATAAGACAAAGAATATCTCAAAAAGATAATAAATATCACTTCTTCCTATAGAAGTTAATAATAATAAAGATTTTGAGGTGGAAGAAGTCTTAGATTTAAGGCAATGCCAGAATAGGTTAGAATATTTTGTTCATTGGTATGGATATGATATTAGTAAATATACATGACAGCTAGCAAAGAAACTTGCAAATGGAGCAAAGAAAATTGAGGCTTTTCATTGACAACATCCATCAAAATCAAGATGAAGAATAATAATTTTTTACTATAAAACAAAGAAGTGTTAGGAATCATATACAAAACAAGGATTTAAGACTAATGAATATAGTTAAATCGACATTAAAACAACAACTAGATGTAAGGAAAGAAGGTCTTGGCTAGATGATAAGAAGTGAGTTTTCGAGATTGAGGACCTCTTCAATCTTGACTCTTATATGTAATAGTTCCTAAAAAGCTTCTTAAGAAGTTTTTATGAGGCTTGAAAATAAAATTAGCCTAAGATCCTTCTTTAGCAACTTCATAAATTATTTAAAGTCTCTTAGAAACTTCTAAGATCTCCTATGATCTTCTAGAACTTTCTTAGAATCTATTGGAACTTTTCGAAACCTTCTAGAACCTCCTAAAATCTTTAAGAGCATTCTTAAAATTTTTTGGAATCTTCTAAAATCTTATGGAAACTTCTTCATTTGTACATCTATTTGTCAAGGACAAAAACTTGATAAAGATAAATAAAGAAGTGAGACTTCTCTCAAAGAAAGATGACAAAATAGA